ATTGATAATGCTATCCTGAGAGCCAGTATCCCATAAGGCCTGGACAGGAGTGTTGTCTATTTCACAGTTCACAAAGCATCTCTTTTTAATAAGACCAAGTAGCTTGTTGTGCTGTTTCAAGGTGATGCCATTCACGTTGGTTGGTAATTTTTTCAGCTATCGGGGATAGCCTTTGAGCAGGGCAGGTTGGTGTTTTTCTCCAGGGGTCTGCATTTAACTTTCCAGTCGAGGCTCTGATGGTAGGTCAGGGACTGGTTTCTTTACTACTGACATGAGTTGCACTTTGGGACGCAGTTTTGGTTCTGTCCACAGGTTACCGTCGGTCCCTTAACAGAAACCCTCTCCCGTTTAACTGATTTTGTTTGGCCGCTCTGCATTGTCTTGCCCTATGTCCAGCTCGACCACTGTTAAGACAATGGACACATGCAGTTCTCTGATCAGTCTTTTCACAGAGAACTCTGACCAACCATTGCTCTAGGTCTTCTAAAGCCATGCTCTTGTCGAGTTCTTGAATCTTGGAGAAGTGTTTTCATATCGAACATTTCTTGTTGCAAAATTTATTACTATCTTTTCAAGGTCAGAGTTACTCTTTGACGGCTGTTGCATTGCCAGACTACTTGCTTGTGGTGGAGGCAAAGGGAGGGTGCCTGGTTCCTGAGAACAATGGAGGATGTTGGTCGGACACTCTCTTCCCTTCGTCAGGTTACTGTACTGAGATTTCTTTTGTTTCTGCTCCCTTTCAATCTCCATGTTCATAGCCTCATTCATCTTTTCTATGAGCAACTCATCTGAGACTGTAGGATCGTGAACTTGATATGGTCACCTCAGTCTGGTGCCCACCGACCTTTCTTTTGTATAAATTCAGTCCTGAAGTGTTTATCTGAACCTTCCCCTTGTGAAATGAACAGCAACCAGTCCTTCAATGCAATGGCCCTAAATAGGAAGTTCTGGGGAGTCTCTTTACTATTCTGTGATATATTGATCAATTGTTGGTATAGTTCGGAAGCATTCTCCTCTTTATAATGGCTTTTTAGGATTCTCTTGAGTGGTACTAGGGTCAGCCCACTCTTCAGCTCTAGCATTCCTCTGAGACTTGACCCGGGACTAATGGCTTTGACCACAGCTTCCACAAGCTTTGACTCAGGATATCCCTTTTGCAATCCCATGTCAATATGGTGCATGAGGTTAATATAAGACAGCTTCTCTTTCTGTGTCCTTTTCACCTATCTGACCAGCAATTTTAAAGTCTTTTCTGATTGTAACTTTTGAAAAGTTAGTATGGGAAAGTCTCTGAGCAACTAGATTAGGGTCTTGTTTTGCAGGACTTTCTTTTGAGTCTTTGTCTTTAGTGCTAAGTTCTTTCATCTGTTCCTCTATCATCTTGGCTGTTTCTTGTTTTTTCCTATATACTGTGGTATTGCTGTTTTAAATCCTTTAACTGTTGTTCTGCTTGAGGGTTTTTGCCATTATCGCTTGGTTGGTGCTTCCATGTTATCTCTCTTCTCCAACTCACTGATGAATTTCTTAGTTGCCTGCAGAAATTGTGTCACCACATCTTCACTTTCAGTCTCTACCAGTTCATCTAACACCTCATTCACCATCCGCATGTAATGGCGCCGGGTTTTTCCTTTTTACAATACTTGCTTCTGAGGCCTTTATAAACTGGCAAGTCTCCATGAGATCATCGACTGGCATGTGCAATCAGGTGTTCACTAATTTTGTCTTGCAACTTTTCGATATCCATACTCCTAATGTTTTTCTGTAACTTTGCCACGGACAGCATAGTCACTCCTTTTCACTTCCGTGACCTTTTGGCGTTCCTTTCACCTGGCCCTACGTTGGGTGCCAATTTTGTTGCACATACAGTTAATAATTCCACTGTGTGAAGAATGGGTCGGGAGAAACCCGAAGTGCTTTATTAGGAACAGCTGTAATAAACACAGAAAACTTTTAATGGCATGAGACCAAATGTTCATTGTAATCACGGTCCTACCAGAAACAAAGCGGAGACTTTCAGTTTCCTCCTTCTGTGTCCTTCTATTATAAACAGGATGTAGTTCTGCCATCTTGTGGTGATACAATAAAAAAAGGAATCACTAGTATGTTCTGTTGACAAAGAAAGATTACTGGCTTTGGATTTTAATTTTATAGGGCTGCCTATTTTCTACACCTCTTACAACTACACTATCATAGTCCCTGGTGTTTCTATTTCTATTGATACTTTTGAGATGCTATGACGGGAGGAGCCATGCTATTCAGGATATGCATACCCTAAGCACAGATTGATTTGAAGCCTTTTTGACCTTAACCGGTGGTTGCACCATTTGGTAAGGGTCCAATGTTATGAATGGTGGTGGATTGGTGGAAGTGTCTAGTTTGTTTTTGCTTCACATTAATTTGAAAGACTCTTTTTCTCGTCTCTGTGAGGACGGCACTAGTAATACAATGCATCAAATTCTCTAGACCAGGGTTTCTCAACCAGGGTTCCATGGAATACTAGGGTTCCTCCAGAGGTTGCTAGGGGTTCCTTGTCCAATAAGCAATGTCTGCCTGATACGTTCCCACTGACACAATTGATCCTTTTAGCTATCTGGAATCCTTCCTAATGACTACAAGGTTAAGGAACATTCTTCCCGCTGACCATCACAATAATGCAAATGAATTGTAGACATCATCATTTTTATCAGCGGTCCTTTGAGACTGAAAAGTTAGCTCAAGGGTTTCTCTGTGCTGAGAGAAAGGGGGTAAGTGAGCACTAAAAGTCAATAAGCTGCTAAACACCAAAGGTACCAAAAACCTCCAAAATAGACAATAAACACAGCAGGGCGTAGCGCTCAAATAAAGATACAAGATATTAATAAAAGTATTCGTGGTAAGATAAATATACAAATGAAACCATATGTCATATCCTAATGACAGCTTATAAATAGCTTATGGATATAACGTTTGAACATCAATTTATCAATGATAATAACAGTCCAAAAATAAGTGATAAAGTGACATAGTGCAAATGCATAAATAATAGGTGTTGTACGTCACTAATCAGTGACTCGCCATGTGCACGGTGCCAGGTAAAGTCCAAGTATTAAGGTGCCTAGAAGTCTTCCGGATCCAAATGACTGGTCCCAATGATTAATGATAAAGAAAAAATGTGTAAAGACTGCACACTCACCAGACGCGCAACCCACTGCACATTTAGAGATATCAATCTCAAAGAACCAGGGTGTCCCCTTAAAGATCTGGTCAGGTCCGGTATCCCTCTTACGTCGACATCTACTGCCCATGGGTAGCTCACTGCCTCTGTGGATGGTAAGAGCTCACAGGGAGCTCAGAAAAGAGGAGGCTAATAGCGTAATACCGTTTGAACAGAGGGTGCTTTTATTGAATAAATAAACAAAGCCACTGACCAGTAATGATGATCCAGGATGGCTGCCGTGATCACTATAGTGCCAGCAGTATGGCGTCCTAGTGCTGTAGCCCCTCACTGACGCGTTTCGTGCGATGGCACGTACTCATAGGGGGTCTGCATACTTGCATGGGTCATGGTGGTTCTCAGTCGTTCATGAGTCATGAGTTTTTCATGGTCATGATGTTCTCAGTCTTTCATGGTCATGATGGTTCTCAGTCTTTCATGGGTCATGATGGCTCTCAGTCTTTCATGGGTCATGGTGGTTCTCAGTGGTCATGATGGTTCTCAGTCTTTCATGGGTCATGATGGCTCTCAGTCTTTCATGGGTCATGGTGGTTCTCAGTCTTTCATGGGTCATGGTGGTTCTCAGTCTTTCATGGGTCATGGTGGTTCTCAGTCTTTCATGGGTCATGGTGGTTCTCAGTCTTTCATGGGTTATGGTGGTTCTCAGTCTTTCTTGGGTTATGGTGGTTCTCAGATACTTCTTTATCAGTGCCAATTTGCTGAACGACCTTTCTCCTGAATAACTAGTGACTATCCTGCTCAAACAAATATTAAGAGCTACATCAACACCTGGGAAGGTATCAGCCATCATGTAATAAAACTGCCTGTTGATATGGAGTGAGACAAGGCCAAAATCTGGCAGCTGCAAACTGTGTAACTTCCTCAATGAACACACTACTGAAGTCTCAAGGGAAAGCACTAATAAGTTGACTATTGCTTTGAACCCATCAAACACTGATTGGTACTCTGCTCTCTTGTAAGGCAACAGACAATGGATCTAAAATAACATTGAAAGTTTCACATCTGAATTTTCCTTTGAGACTGATGTTGGTGTAGCACCCTCTAGGTTTAGCTAGATAGGATTTGTTTTTTTCTGAGTCAGAGGCTAGCTAGAAGCCTGGGATGTATCAACCCGGAATGAGGTAGAGAGGTTACCTCAGGACAGACTGGGAGGCTCTACAGGTCTGGTCTTCTGGAGCCCTCCCACTCTTCTGGAAAATTGAGGAAATTTCAAGAAGAGGGGTGGAGGAGGGGAGGAAGCCTGGATTTGCATGTTTAAGGGAACTTGGACATTTCCAGGCAATAGGCTGGGCATGGTGGCTAATAGCAACTCTTAAATGGGGCAGAGCCTGTGCAGTGGGGCAAGTTGTTGGAGTTGGGTGGAATATGGACTGAGAGAATGTGTGGGAGTGTGGAGCGTGGGAGGGGGCCCCAGGGAGGGGGGCTTACTTACAGGCTGATGCTGGATGGAAGGATCTCCAATGTACCACTATCCCCTTGGGAGGACATCCTGTCAGCCTGGAAGGAGCCAGCCCAATGCAAGGCCTGAAAGCAGCTGCACACCAACAAGCGACAGGACAGTGTGAGTAATTCTACACCTCCTGCGCCACAAAAGGGAGAGGGCGTTCAGGTGCAATACCCAACTAGTTCTCATCCAGGACTACTTAACTGCAGATCTTAGAATTCCCTTGCCCAGGGATACCCTCAGGACAGTTGGGTGAAAGAGGAAATATTTATCTGGGCTCTAAGGAGGTACACCAAAGGGGACATCAGTGCTCCCTACAGAGCAGGGGCGGACTGATAACTCATGGGGCCCCCGGGCAATAGGGGATCATGGGGCCCCTGTGTCCTTGCCCAAACTCAAAAAAGCCTATGAGAAAGGTACCAGGGGCATCTCATGTGGCCCCCTAATGACCCCAGGCCCTCGGGCAGTGCTCGAGTTTCCAAATGGTCAGTCCGCCCCTGCTACAGAGACAGTTTCTACTTTTTGGTCTACATTTTTGTACAGTGTACAGAGGCGGCTTTATGATTAGGCAAATAAGGCGGTTGCCTTAGGCCTTGCACTCACAGGGGCCTAATTTGCCTAACTAACATTTTGGGGGCCCTTGCTGTAGGCTGGAGAGTGGCTAAAACGTTAGCTGAGTGGTAGCCGCTGTGCTGCCAAGGTGCCACAGCTTAAGCCGGCAATAGCTAGGGCTCCGGTCTGCTTAGAAGCCTCAATAGCTCCAGGCGGCAACTCAGCCGCACTGCAATGGAAGTCGAAGGGAGGCGGAATGATATCAACCACACTCTGCCTCTCTCCCTGTAAACTGGTTGTGTCCTTCCTTGCTGGCGCAGTCGTACTTCGGAGGTGGGAACAGCCTGTGGGGAAGTCAAAGAGCGACCCTGTAGCCAGTGCTCAGCCTCAGTCACTGACTTACTGCACTGTGGTCTGTGGAAACAGCAGAGCCGGAGAAGTTGTACAGACTCAGCCACCTTGCCTTGTTAAAGGTACTTATGGATTAGCATTTGGCAATGTTGCAGAACAGAGGGCTGGGCTTTGCCTATTAATGCTGCAGTGCTTGGATGTGGGTCTCTCTGTGGCTGTCTCTTAGCTGGATTCAATTGTCTCTTGGGTGGATTGGACTGTCTTTTAGATGGATTGGTCTGTCTCTTAGGCTCCAGTCACACTTGTGTGACTTCAAAATCATGCGATTTTCATTGCGACTTTACAGTGCAACTTGATGCGACTTTGGTGTGACGTTGACTTCTGCTGTACAAAGTTGCACACAAGTCGCATGTACAATATTCAGGTGCGACTTTCATGTGACTTTGGAGGGTATGCATTGAAGTCTATGGCCCTCAAGTCACATGCAAGTTGGACCAAAGTAGTGCAGGAACTACTTTGAAGTCGCACAGATATGAATGGTACCCATTGGGAAATATGGGGGCGGGGGGGCGACTTGTCATGTGACTTTAGTTAGAGGCTGCAGATACAGTACAGGAGATGGTTAGAGGCTGTATATACAGTACAGGAGATGGTTAGAGGCTGCGCACAAAGTACAGGAGATGGTTAGAGGCTGCAGATACAGTACAGGAGATGGTAAGAGGCTGCAGATACAGTACAGGAGATGGTTTAGAGGCTGCGCACAAAGTACAGGAGATGGTTAGAGGCTGCGGACATGGTATAGGAAATGGTTAGAGGCTGCAGATACAGTACAGGAGATGGATAGAGGCTGCAGATATAGTACAGGAGTTGGTTAGAGGCTGCGCACAATGTACAGGAGATGGTTAGAGGTGGACCCCAAAGTCGCATGACAAGTCACATAAGTGTGAATGGAGTCTTAGGTGGATTGGACTGTCTCTTGGCTGGATTGTCATGTCTCTTGGCTGGATTGGGCTATCTCTTGGCTGGATTGGGCTGCCTCTTGGCTGGATTGGGCTGTCTCTTGGCTGAATTGGCATGTCTCTTGGCTAAATTGGGCTGTCTCTTAGCTGAATTGGCATGTCTCTTAGCTGAATTGGCATGTCTCTTAGCTGGATTGGTGGATTGGACTGTCTCTTAGCTGAATTGGGCTGTCTTTAAACTGGATTGCCATGTCTCTTAGGTGGATTGGGCTGTCTCTGAGGTGGATTGGACTGTCTCTTAACTGGATTGGGCTGTCTCTTAGCTGGATTGGCATGTCTCTTAGCTGGATTGGGCTCAGGGCTGCCAACCATCTGTAAATTCGCGGACAGTCTGTGAATTTTAACCCTAAACGGCCTGTCTGTAAATGTCCTTTTATGGCCAGCGGCTGTCCGTGAAAAAAAATAGACATTCAACCGATTTCCCACTGCGCATGCATGAAACCAGATTAGGCAAGTTCAGCTGAATTCGGCTGGGCTTGGCGGAGGAGGGGTCATGTGGTGACACTATCACGCCACTTGCCGCCTTTTTGTGAACAGCAACAGCCTGGAGCCAGAGCGGAGGGCTGAATGGAGGGGGAGGGAGAGCCACCTGCTGGCCCAAGTGCTGGAAGTCAGTGACAGCGCCAGTCACCCAGGAGACTGTCCACAGCATCTAACCATCTCCTGTATCATGTCCACAGCCTCTAACCATCTCCTGTACAATGTCCACAGCCTCTAACCATCTCCTGTAGTATATCCGCGTCCTCTATCTCTTGTTCTGTCCGCAGCCTCTAACCATCTCCTGTACTGTGTCTGCAGCCTCTAACCATCTCCTGTAGTATGTCTGCAGCCTCTAACAATTTCCTGTACTGTGTCCGCAGCCTCTAATCATCTCCTGTACCGTATATACTCAGTCTCCAACCATCTCCTGTACTGTGTCTGCAGCCTCTAACCATCTCCTGTACTGTATCTGCCACCTCTAACCATCTCCTGTACATTGTGCACAGCCTCTAACCAACCCCTGTACTATATCTGCAGCCTCTAACCATCTCCTGTACTGTATCTGCAGCCTCTAACCATCTCCTATACCATGTCCGCAGCCTCTAACCATCTCCTGTACTTTGTGTGCAGCCTCTAACCATCTCCTGTACTGTATCTGCAGCCTCTAACCATCTCCTGTACTGTATCTGCAGCCTCTAACCATCTTCTGTACTGTATCTGCAGCCTCTAACCATCTCCTGTACTTTGTGCGCACCCTCTAACCATCTCCTGTACTGTATATGTTCCTCTAACCATCTCCTGCACTATATCTGCAGCCTCTAACCATCTCCTGTACATTGTGAGCAGCCTCTAACCAACTCCTGTACTGTATCTGCAGCCTCTAACCATCTCCTGTACTGTATCTGCAGCCTCTAACCATCTCCTGTACTTATCTGCAGCCTCTAACCATCTCCTGTACTGTATCTGCAGCCTCTAACCATCTCCTGTACTGTATCTGCAGCCTCTAACCATCTCCTGTACATTATGCGCAGCCTCTAACCAACACATGTACTGAGTCTGCAGCCATTAACCATCATCTGTACTGTGTCCGCAGCCTCTAACCATCTCCTGTACTGAGTCTGCAGCCTCTAACCATCATCTGTACTGTGTCTGCAGCCTCTAACCATCATCTGTACTGTGTCTGCAGCCTCTAACCATCATCTGTACTGTGTCTGCAGCCTCTAACCATCATCTGTACTGTGTCTGCAGCCTCTAACCATCATATGTACTGTGTCCGCAGCCTCTAACCATCATATGTACTGTGTCCGCAGCCTCTAACCATCATATGTACTGTGTCCGCAGCCTCTAACCATCATTTGTAGTATGTCCACAGCCTCTGACCTTCTCTTATATCATGTCCGCAGTCTTTGACCATCTCTTGTATCATGTCTACAGTCTCTAACCAACTGTTGTATCATGTTTGCAGTCTCTGAGGAGGAGCCTTCTCTTCAACAGAGAAGTGGTGTTTTCCTCTTGGATAGGGTATAATTTTGAAGCTGCTTACTAATGAAAAACTTCATACCTCTATTGCCACAATCTCTTCATCCTTTGTCCTTGATCAGGGAGAATGGAAGGCTGTGCCTTGAAAACGTGAACTATGTTCTGACTTTGAAAGTCAGTCATCTAGGTCATCCCATTCTGGGCCTGCTACCCTACAGTTATCATTTTTATAGGGTTTCATGCTACACCTTTCATTGCTTATCAGTTTACAACACTTGATGTATAGCGGACCAGTCTGCACATTTTATCAGTATCAATGGTGCATTAATAGTTCGCACTCCCAATGGTGCAGTGGACCAACATGTGCCCAATGTAGCCGAATACACAAAAACAACTGAATATATATGTTTTAAAATAAAAGTGCATATATCTATAAACGCCTAATAATAGCCATTTCTAATGCAATAAACCTTACTCTAAAGCACTTAATTATACATTAAATTAATTGAACACTCTTATTACTGTTATTTCATTATATATATTGTTATGATATAGGACAGGGGTGGCTAACCTGTGGCTCTCCAGCTGTTGTGGAACTACATTTCCCATGAGGCATTGCAAAGATGGGAAGTTACTGACTTGCAGAGGCATGATGGAACTTGTAGTCCTGCAGCAGCTGGAGAGCCGCAGGTTGGCCACCCCTGATATAGGATATAATAAGGATCACCTTTATCCCTATTCACCTTCTTCTACCTCTGGTGAAGCAAGGTGCAAGGCAAAAGTGAATGGCTTGGATAAAGGTGCCCTCAGAGCCAGGAATAAGGATGGCTATGATGGGCTTGGGGCCTCCTTGGTAAGGAGGGCTAACGGCGGTGCCCTGTACTTCCGTGCAGGGCTGTGTCCTTGACATTGTGCCCAGAGTCTGCTGGCATAAGTGGCTGGAGAACTCAAAGGATCATTAAATATTTGTTCATGAAGGACCATGACTTGCTGGCTCCCAGCCTCTTTTGTCTTTAAAGAGGTCTCACCGACAATATCCTCAGACATGTTAGTATGGTATTAGGTCCACACCGCAGGCTCAGTACTTTTTGCCCTTTGTCATTCTTATTGCTCAGGGAAGCAGAAATGCCAACACTCACTGGGAACTTTATGTGCATCCTGGGTGAGACCTGCAGGGCTGGATGAAGCACTGGGCTCGTCACACAATGGCAATGCTATTTTAGCTTGACCTTAAGCAAGAGTGAGAATGAGATAGGTTGTACCAGAAGATGAAGGCCACGCTTATGGAAAGGCACTCTTTTTCCTCTTCTTACCACACTGATGGTCCCTACCTGAGCACATGAGGTCTTGGTTATGTGGCAGAAGGTTCATGTTGGAGCAAGGATGTCAGCACTGCATAGAAAGTAAAATGAAAGATTCAGAGAAAGAAGAAAACAGATCATAGACATGTGCCTGAATCATCTCCCCCCCCCCCCCCCCCCCCCATTCATCTGCAGCATAAGCAAGGGAAAAAATAAGACATTTCCAATGCAAACCCGCCTTGCACATGTGTG